ATTGTGGATGCTCATGGATTGACTGCAGCAGAACGGCTGTGGCATCCTAAAACTAAATCATCATATGCTCAAGTGAGGTGGAAAGATCCCCTCACGGGTGTATGGAGTGGCCCCGACCCGGTATTAATATGGGGACTAGGGCATGTTTGTGTTTTCCCGCAGGACGCTGAAGGTGCCAGGTGGCTGCCTGAAAGATTGGTCCGTTTTGCGGGAAATTCCCCTGTCCCTTAGGATGATCCTGACAACTGTCCTGCTGATAAATCTAATGATGATGCTTAATGAGAAGGTTTATTGGACTTATGTACCTGATCCACCTGTTGTACATCCAACGAGCTGAAAAAATGGAGAAGTAATGGTATGGGTGAACAATACCAGGCTGTTGGATGAGCCAGCAGCACCTGACAAGAACGAGGTCCGATTGTTCAACTATACGGGATCAGAAACTGGAATCCCCATATGTTTCTTCAAAATCAACAGAACTGATTGTATAAGACTGAGCGCTCGCATCCTGGCAGGAAGGCAGGTAGATCAATGCAAAGGCAGGATCACTGGAGTCCATCTACATCTACCTGTGGGTATAGAGACCACTGGTGTAGTGCGTCCAACTTTTAAGGCTCCAATGGGACTGTTCCATAGAAGAGATGTGTGGTGGATGCCCCTGTGAGATATAGTATTACTGGATTTGATACTTATGTTTTGGACTGGTCTGAAAATTCTTGTCATCCCAAAAGAAATGTCACTGCATATGTCATGTGCTCTTAGGTATTGCTTGTAGGAAATATTAGTGTTCAGAAAGATTATGATTATTATAATGTAATTTATTTCAATTGTCAAATAAGCAATTGTGTCACCCGAACAGAAAATCAGATAATGGTTTTGCGAATGTGTTCTTAGATTTGGATATTATAGATCTCCAAAATGCAGAACCCCTAAAATTTGATGCGGCCCAGGCTGCACAGGATTTTATCGAACAAATTAGAAAAGTTCTGCCATCTACATCTGCAATTACGCGGTAACTCATTTCCATAGTAATTATTGGAGGAGGGCTGCCTCTTACATGCATGATCCTTCTGGCGCTACTACAGATGTTTATGCATTCTTTAATGAGGATGGCTGGAAGTATTCATGGTCTACAATTACATGCTACACCGCCTAAACCCATGGTGTAATTCCCTGCAGAGGCTGGTAGTCAATGATGGGTAAGAGGAATACAGGAAATCACCAACCTAAGACAGAGCAAGAGTACTGTGATGCTCTTGACTCCATGATGGGTAAGGGATTTCTTTATATTCCTCACCTAAGACAGGCACAGCCTATCTGCGTGATCAAGGGACCTTGATCATAATATATAAAATGGGGAGATGTGGAGAGCCGTGTTAGCCATAGAGGCTCCCGACTCTATCTCTGCATCCTCACTCCCCCATTCAGGTGCTGTTCGACAAGTGACGGCTGGCTCCGTCAACCACCTGGGCGGCTGATGCCTAGCTGGACTTACTGGACCAGGTGGTGCTAATTACAGTATAATCTCAAGTCACTGTTTATCTTTTAGGGAGGCATGTAGGGCTGGCCATTGCATCTTTATCTTGAGGCATGGCCTTCTTCAGATGTACCCTCAGCCACCATTCTGATGTCTTCTTTTCTGCTGACTTCCTTGAGAGCCCAGTCCCTCCCTGACTGTATATTTCTATCTAACTTAGCTGCCTATAGTATCACTACCCTGGGAAAAGATCAAAATCAAGTCTGGTTTCTAAGCCAAATACCTATCACTTACGCACCATCCTAAGTCAGGAACCTTCTGTGTAGACTAACCAACACCTGAGCGGCAGATAAGATTCTATGGGCTGTCAACGGCAACCTGACCTTTAGGGTGAATTGGCATGCCTGCCAGCTATTTTTATGAGGCCAGCTGGCAGTCTGCAGGAGTGGTGCATGGAGGTAGGAGATGGACACCAAACCATCCAAGATAGAATTCTTGGTCTTTCTGCCACTGCTGGAAGGAATCTCTGCTGTCATTTTAGGGCAAGCCTTTGTTGTCCAAGCAGAGGAGCTAAAGACTAGGGAATGCAGAGATTTGTCCAGGTCACAGATCTGGTTCCTGCACTGGGTCCAGACCCCAGCTGTGTCAGCACACACCATGCCAGCTGCCCAAGATGCCAGACCTGGCTCTGTCACTATCATAGAGAGCTAAGTTAGTTAAAAATATAGGCAGTCAGGCCTATGGGTAGGCCCTTCAAGAAGCCAGTGCACAAGATAAAAACACACGTAGTGGGTAGAGGCACATTGCTTAAAGGCCAGGCCTCAAGACAAAGATGAAATTACTACATCTACTTCCCCAGGGAGAAACAATAATGATCGCTATTCTGAATAGGCATCCATCACCTGTGTGGGGTACCAAGACCTTAACCCATCTTTTCCAGGAAAGGTCCTTGTCCTTTACATGACTTCTTCCCCATTGAATCAATATTACCTAAGCGACTATACGTACAATCTTACTAGTCAACCATAGTTTTGTCCTACCTTATATCCACCTCATGATTTCTTACCCATCCTCTATAAAGCCTCCCCTATAAATGGAGTCCTTGGCAGCCCACTATCTGGGTCTCCTTCTGTCCTAGACAGAAGCTGTCTTTCCCTCAATAAATATTTCCTACTCTTCCCTTAAATTGTTCTTTTTTTTTTTTTTTTTTGGTACCAGGGATCGAACTCGGGACCTTTCGAGGCAGGCACCGGAACCACTGAGCTAAATCTCTGGCCCTACCTTACATTGTTCTTAAAAATTTATTCTTCAGGGCTGGGGATTTAGCTCAGTGATTTCATTGCCTGTTGAGCAAGCACAAGGACCCGAGTTCAATTCCTGGTATCAAAAAAAAAAATTATTCTTCAATTTTAGAGAACACAAACTCAGACATCTAACAGGTTGCAAGTTACATCTATTTCCCCTGTATCATTCCTAGATCATCACTGTGCTGGGTGTTTTTTTTTCTTGGTACTGGGAATCGAACTCGGGTCTTTACACTTGCGCAGCAGGTGGCGAAACCACTGAGCTAAATCCCCGGCCCACTGTGATGGGTCTTGAGGGTCCCTGTGGCTGAAATAAGGAACCTATCCTGTCCTTTGAAAAGAAGTTTGGAGGCTTGCTGACTTTTCTCACAGAAAAATAATTTTCAGAATGCATCAGTAAGTAAGAGGCAAGATAAAGGTTTATTAGGCAGATATACAATATAAGATGCACCTAAGGGGGAGTGCCAGGGCTCAAAGAGATGAGGCACAGTACAGTTGGGAACTGTTTTTTATGTGTTTTCTTTGGTGGAAATCTGAAATTTGATCATCTATAATCTTAATTTTGTCTAGTGGGTGGGAGAGGATGGCCCACCCACAGTGAGATAATGGACTTTTCATAGGGAAACCCCAAAAGGGTGATTCCTTCATGGGTAAAAGAGGACCATTTGCAAGTAAAAAGGGAAAGGGCAGACACATTTGTAGGTGAAAGGGAGTTGCCCAGGTTTACTCTGTTTTGGAAGAAAAGAGAAAAAAATAAACTGAGTTTGTATTCTGAAGCTGCATTTTTTTCTTCAAAACAGTTTTTTAAATCTGGATTTCCTTTTTCTCCTTCTTACCTAGTTTTCACTTCTGTCCTACCTACCTCTGCTCCACTAGGAGCAAGAGAAAACTCCCACAAGTTGGCAAGGGATGGCCTTTCTGACCAGAGTCAAAGTTCCCCTGGTGCCTGTTGAGCGCTGCTTCCCCATTGGCTCATGGGATCCACGCCTTCAGGGTTCTTCCCTTCCTTGCAACTCTGTGAGAAGGCACTTCTCTTGGGAGACCAAGGATCACCACAGCACCATGACTGAGTCTAGCAAGGTAAGGCAGGCACTTGAAAGCTGCTGCTACCCATGGAGCCACTCCACCCTCAGGAACTCCTGCCCAGCATAACTGGGAATCAAGGGGTCTCACGAGACTCTCAGGGCCCCTGACCAGAGAGCTCTGAGTCAGCACAGAGTTGCCTAGACAGACCTGGCGAAGGAGGCCCAGCATAATGAGAAGAAACAGGTGGCTCAGAGGCCCTGAGCTGGTGTCTGAGACCTCCTTTCTGTTGAGTTCCTGAGGCTAGAAATCCACCCACCCTGGATTAATGTGTCCCCCTTCCCTCTCTCTCCTCAGCCCGTTCTCTATTCCTATTTCCGAAGCTCCTGTTCTTGGAGAGTTCGAATCGGTAAGCACTGGCACCTGGGTGGGATGGGGTAGAGAAACCTCAGGTGCAAAGCTGGCCTGGGACCAAAGGGATGCTCGGTCAGACAGGGCTTCACCCCGCAACCAACCTCCGCAGTCTCCAGGATCCCCTGTCCCTGAATGGCACCTCCACCCAGGAAGTCCAACAAGAGGATACCAGGGTGAGAGGAAAGGGGCTTCCACTTCCCCGTGCTGCTCTCCAGAGCCCCTCAGCAACCGTGCTTAAAGCAGGTTCACAGAATCCAGAGGTTCCTGGTAACTGGAGGGGAAACAGCTGGCCTCCCTCACTTCTTATCTTATTTGACCTGGCAAATCAAACAGAACTGGTTGGTGTCAGCTACAGAGGATTAGAGGAACAGAAACTAGAGCCCTCTCCTTTAGTCCTAAATTGGACCCTTTGCGCCCTCAGTTTAACACCATCCTCGCCAAGGGTCATAGCCACAGCAGCTCATACTGAGGAAGTATTTGGTGCTGAGTGCTTCTTTTTAAATTATTTTATTTATTTATTTTTTCCTTTCATTTTTTGAGGCAGGGTCTCACTGTATAATTCAGGCTGGACATGAATTCACTCTGTAGCCCAGGCTGGCCTCAAACCCACAGCAATCCTCCTCCCTCAGCCTCCTGAGTGCTGGGATTGCAGATGTGTGCCATCACACCTGACTATGAGTATTTTTGTGTGCCTGATTCCCTCAACCTCAACCGCCTTAGGAGGGAGGGACTATTCTTTCTCCTGTTGTGCAGATGAGGAAACGGGAGGCAGAGGAGCATTAAATAACTTTCCACCATCTTGCAGCTGATAAGAGGTTGAGCTGGAATTTGGCCTAAATAATCTGGCTACAGAGTTTATGTTGTTTTGCTTTGGTTTGGTGCTGAGGACCAAACCCAGGGCCAAGTATGCTAACCTTTAGCATACTACACCTCCAGCCAGAGCCCATGCTTCTAACAACTACTCTTTGCTGCTTACAACATGGGGAAACTGGCACAGAGGCCCATTACTCACCCACACCCACACAGCTAACAAATAAATGTGATATGACAGTTGAACTCAAGCAGCCTGTCTCAAAAGCTTGACCCTAACAGCAAAGCCATCTTCAGTAACACCCCTCCCTGACCCCAAAATCCCACGATGGAGTTTGTGGCATCAGTAAGCAGAAGCCCTGGGTGCTAGGAGAAACTCCTCCAAGAACATGCTCCTTTCCTTGGGGCCAGAGTCTGCCCTGGCTGAGCCAGAAGCCAGAGCAGTAGGAGTGCTGTCTGTGGGACCTGCATGCCTTGGCTTCTCCCTCTGTACTCCAGCCACATTCACTGTCCCACTGTCCAGAGTGGAGGTGACCAGCACCAAGGACAAGCCTGGCCTATTCCAGACTCTCCTCACTCTGTGACATGTCCTGCTATGCCTCCACTCTTTTGCCTTTGCAGGAGAACAGCTACCTCCATATTTTAATACCCAAGTGTGCATACACACACACACACACACACACACACACACACACACACAGAGTCTTCTCCACTAAAGGGGAACACCAGGCATTTTTACTCTCTCACTGGGGTCACCACAGTGCTCCAAGACCACCAGAGAGGCTAGTGTCCACCTTGAATCTAAGGAGCCCTGAGAACAGAGAGAATGGTTTTGAGAGATTCTTCTCTAAATAGTTTTATCAGCCCATCATGCTCTGCATGACCCCCAAGCATCTTCCCTTGGCCCCTAGATCCCTTGTTAAGGGAATATTGCATGTCTCCAATAAATATACCCTGCTTATTGCTGTTCAAGGCCCTAGAGGGGCAGAGGTAAACAGAACATACTCTGCTGTCCCCAAGAGCCTGCAGTGGGCCATGACTCAATTCAGCACCACGCAGGGAGCATGAGGGCCCTGTTGGAGGCCCAGAGGGTGAGGGTTCTAAGAGGGTAAGAGGCAGAATGTACCCCTGGAATGGAGTAGTGGGTAGTGACAAAGCTGGAGACAAGGGGATAGTGCCATGCTGGGTCTTGACCATCAGCAGCATGGAGAAACCACCCTTCAGCATCCTAAAATCACCCTGGGTGGGTTCTTGGGAGTGGAGCTAGAAGTGATTTTCTGACCTCCCTGTCTGGTTTCTCCTAGCTTTGGCCTTGAAAGGCATTGACTATGAGACAGTGCCCATCAACCTCATAAAAGACGGGGGACAACAGGTAAGGAGGCTGCCCCCAGACCATACTGTGGAGTTGGACCTTGGAGAGTAACCAGCTGGGGAGGTGGGTGTCTGTCTCCAAGAAGTACACCTGTGTCCCATGGTCTCTGTGGCTGGAGAATGCTGCTGGCTGTCCCTTGTGGGACAAGGTGGTAAGTTGCATGGCAAGAGAAGCCAGGGCATGGGCCTAGGTTCCAATCTCAGTACCACACCCTAAGAGCTCCAGTGCTCCAGTGCATGTTGGTGGGTGGCAAGTGGGTCCTGGCTCCATACTGGGCTCCCTGGCCCCATACTGGGCTCCCTGGCCAGCTGGCTAGGGTGGGAGTTGCATTGGTGGCCACAGTATGAGATGCAGGGAAAATCACATAGGTAGGCCATTGGGATGAAGCCTGTAGCTCAGCAGCTGCTAGGGTTGAGATGCTTTGTGGATTCCCCGGGGATTGTCTTAGGTTTAGGAGCTAGGGGCTCCCTAGAGAAGGGAAATACAGATGGGTGGCAGGCCTGCTTGCTTGGCTCTGCTCCAGCCAACTCAGGCCAAGTGACCCAGCCCACCAGGACCTGGTCTCCACAGTTCTCTGCAGAATTCCAGACACTGAATCCCATGAAGCAGGTGCCAGCCTTGAAGATTGATGGAATCACCATTGGCCAGTCGGTAAGTATGGAGCAGTTCTGTGAATGATAGGACCCAGTGTCTCTTCCTTGCCTCTGTGTGACTAAGGCACACGTAGTAGAGGCTCAAATATTTGTCAGACAGGTTATTTGGGGGGATGAGGAGAGAGCGGAGCATATAGGAAAGCAAGTTGTACAGGACAAGGTCCAAGCTAACAGTGGAGGAAGAGGAGGTTTCTGGCCCTGTCCCTTGTGGTTTGGGGGTCCCGGATCTCTCACTGCCCTCTCTGGACAGCTGGCCATCATTGAGTACCTGGAGGAGACTCGGCCCACACCACAACTCTTGCCTCAAGACCCAAAGAAGAGGGCCAATGTGCGCATGATTTCTGACCTCATCGCTGGTGGCATCCAGCCCCTGCAGGTGAGGCACTTGTACCCTGTAGCCTTGCCCCCCCCACACACTCATGCCCTTACACATCAGCTGTGGCAGGTCCTCAGTGAGGTGCACAGCTTGGGGGTAGGAGTAGCAGGAAGACAGAGAGGAACTCTCAGAGACTTTGACTTAGACCATGTGGTGAAAGGGAGCAGGGATCTGAGAAATCCTCCACCCTGGTAGGTCCCCAGTTGTGTTCCAGGAAGCCCTAGGTCTCCAAGGACACATTAGAGGTGGTGAAAAGGCCAGGGTGGCAGGGAAGGAGCTGAACAGAATCGGGTCCCGGCTTCCAGCGTTTAACCCAAGCAGCCTCCTTCCATCTGTTCTCTGTCACATACATTTCATATCTCATTTTATTGCGTTTGGGGTTATTGTGCTTTAAAGATAGGTTTTGGTTTTGGTTTTTTTTAACAGTGAAAGTTTGTGGCAGCCTTTCATCCAGTAAGTCTAGTGGTGCCATTTTTCCAACAACTCAGATGATTGTTAGCATTCTTTTTAAAACAGTAAAGCATTTTTAAAATTAAGCTGTGTATATTTTTAGACATAATGATACTGCACAGGTAACAGACTATATAGTGTGTAGTTTAAATGAAATTTTATGAGCATAGGAAACCAAAATTCCGCATGACTTGCTTTATTGTCATGGTCTAGACCTAAGTCTGTAGTATCTCCCAAGTATGCTTATATTGGGATTCTCATAGTTTTTGTTTTCCCTGTACTGGAGATTAAACCAAGTCCTTTGCACTGAGCTGCATTCCCAGCCCTTTTTATTTTGAGATAAGGTCTCACTAAGTTGCTAAATTGCTCATTCTGGACTCAAACTTGGGATCCTCCTGCCTCAGTCTCCCGGAGTCCTGGGATTACAGGTGTGTGCCACCATCCCTGGCTAGTGTTTTTTTTCTTTTAAAGATTTTCATTGGTGGAACAGAAAAGCAAATATTAGGACCGTTCTTCTGTGCCAACTCCTGATTTTGTGAGAAAATAGCCCAGAAAGGTGGAGTGACTTTGCCGAGTAACACAATAGCAGGGCTGACGTCAAGGCCAGGACCCCTGTGTAACTTGTGCCCCAAGAGTCTTCTTGCTGTTTGAACAAAGCAGACTGCAACAGACCCACATCCCATTTACAGATGAGGAAACAGAAGCAGAAGTCAAATGGTTCCAGGGGTGCAAGGGTGTACCAGATTCAAACTGTCTGTGCCCATCCCCTCTGCAGCCCCGATCTACATTGAACTCCCTTTCTTCATAAGAGACCCTGTAAGGAAGAAGTGTTGTGGATGAGTGAGTTCGGACAATAGGGATGTGCCACACTCTGTGCCAGATTCGAGCCTGTTTATTATAGCCAGTAGCCGAGGGGGGCTAGTGCCCAGAAAGTTTTCTCGGCAGTGGGAAGCAGTTTGATTTCTTCTTTTAAATCATGCTTTCAGCTGGGGAGGGCTCAGGGGAGAGCAAATGGAATCTTACAGAAGCAGAATCATGCCAGGTTAGTGGGGGGTACAAGGAAGTTTCACACGCACTAGGTGAGCTACAAAACATCCTGCAACTGCAGCAAGTTTACTGCCAAGCAGGATGTGGGGGTTTGGGGCGCTTTGTTCAAGCGCAAGCACTTTGTTCAAGCACAGCTACAAAATGGCATTGAGGCACAAGATGGAGTCGGGTTAGCTATCACAGAAGCATGGGTTTGAAGGAAATGGGCCCCAGGGTATGGTCACACCTGCCATGGCCACGGTGGTAGCCTTTGTCCTGTCTTGCACAGGGCTTTCAGAGAGCTAGGGCCACTGGGGCAGCCTGAGAGGTTGGCTGCTGGGATAGCTTCTTTCCTCTAGCTTCAGGGTTGTGATGGGAGCAGAGGGGTTATGAAGTCCAGGGAAGGGCTGGACTAGGGGAAGAGCCCAAGGCAGATGGGAACTGAGCTTCCCTGAGAGGAAGAGCTTGGCTGAGGGACAGCTCCAGCCCAGTCTGAAAGCATCACAGATTTTCCTTGGGCTGCACAGAACCTGTCTGTCCTGAAGCAAGTGGGAACGGAGAACCAGCTGCCCTGGGCTCAGGAAGTCATCAGTTTTGGCTTTAACGGTGAGTCCTTACTCCTGTGAGCTGCCTCAAAGTGACCTCTTAGAGAAATTACCCTGGGGCAAAGGGTCCTGAGCATCTGACCAGCCTCCCAGGCTGTTTGGTCTTGACCATGTCATCGATGAGGATGAGGGCAGGGCTGGGAGGCAGCAGACTGGGCAGGCATTCAAGCCTGGCCTTGAGCTCCAGCACTTCTGGAAACCTCAGTACAGGAGCCCCATGGTCCTGCAGAACTGGATGATGGCTCAACTTCTGCTTCACTGCCCACACTGGCCAAACCAAGACCAGCAAAAGCCTGAACCTGTCAGTTTGAGAGCTGAGGTCTGGACTGGCTACAAGTCTCATTACCCTGCTTGGACAATTGTGGCTGGACTTGAGGAGCCCAGGCTTGTCCCCAGAAACTCACTCTAGTCCTGGCTGCAACAAATCCTCCAGCACCCATGCCCCAGCCTTCACTCAGATAACTACTCATTCCATAACTATGAAGGCCAAGGCTCAGAAAGGCTGATGTCCCCTTTCTGTGCCCAGACTGAGATGACTCATGTGGTCTCCCCACAGCTCTGGAGCAGATCCTGCAGAGCACAGCAGGGAAGTTCTGTGTCGGAGATGAGGTAAGAGTCCCCAGACCTACTCACCAGGCCTCCTCTGTGGCTCAGCCATCTCCTCCCCCTCAGGTAGGCAGGACTCACAGCTTCCTATAGAGGCTCGTGCAGGCACATGCTAAATCTCCTCTTGTCAGGATCTCTGGCCAGGCCATCAGCTTATGGGGAGCTCCTAGATCACTCCTAAGCTGCCCCAAGAGGAAGTGAGGTGCCCATATCAGAAGACTGCCCCTCTGAGACAGCAAGGTAGGCCAGGCATCCTCTGAGGGGTTAGACTAGATGATGTCTCCCTTCCCTCTCAGTTCTGAAACCCTAGGACTCAGGTACCCTTTAGTCCTACAGGCTTTGGCTCTGAACCTATAGTAGGTCTGGTTCCTTCGGTCCTGAGGCATCTGTTCCCTGCTGGGAACCCTCACTAAGGGCCTGGTAATAGCAGTTTTAACAAGCACAATATCACCAAGGGTATCAAACCTTCTCTGGCCACCCACATGGTTGGCTGGCAGGGTAGCTGGAGCTTGGCCTGAAAGCAGTGTGGCTATGGGGGATAGCCAGACACCCAGGGGAAACAAGGGTGAGAGTGGCGTGTTAGGGATGGGAAGAGACTAGTCAGATAGGAACATCAGGGGCTGGCATCCTCAGTGTAGTTGCAGTGGACACACTGAGTCTGGGGTGCTTACCCCCAACACAAAGCCACCTGGTTCCCTTTCAGGTATCCATGGCTGATCTGTGCTTAGTGCCTCAGGTAGCAAATGCTGAAAGGTAAGAGACAGTCCCGCTATCCTTCTTTCTGCTTACATCCAGCTGGGCCTTCCACTTCAGCTACTATGTGGCATCTCATGCAGACCCCTCCCAGCTGGCCAAGGGGCCCACTATGCTGGCTTACAACAACCATGTTAGCCCTGAAGAGACAGGGTAGAAAAAAAAAAAATCAATGAAATGTTTTACTAAGCGCACAGTAGCCCAGGTGATCCTGTACAGACAGTCCCTGCTCCTAAGAGGAGGTGGCTCACTTGTGGGCACTCCAAGAGCCTGCTGTCCCCAGACATAGCTCTTTGCTCTACGGAGAGCTCTACCTGTTTCCTTCTACCAGCCCTTCAATTGCATTTGAGTGAGTACCTCTCTGGAAGGCACCATGCTAAGCTAGGCATTAGAGATATGGAAATATATGACACATTCCTGCTCCCAAGAAGCTTGTGATATGTAAATGCCTGATACTAGGCTGTGCACATAGCAGGTTCTCAATAAAGAGTCATTGCTTAGAGAGAAACAGTAGGTAGCAGAGATGCTAAATAATACCACACCAGTCCTACCCATCCCCAGAGAGCTACTTGTGAATAAGGGTTCCCACAACAGGGCTGCTTCCTCGTCATTTCTTGGTCAGCCCATGGACTTTATCTAGCCCTGCCTCTGTTCCCCTCACTGCCCACTGTGTCCCTGAAAACTCTGGCTTACAAGGTGTTTCTCTCCCACAGGTTCAAGGTTGATCTCAAGCCCTACCCTATCATTAGTCGCATCAACAAGACACTGCTGGCCCTGGAGGCCTTCCAGGTGTCTCACCCCTGCCGGCAGCCAGATACACCTGCTGAGCTGAGGGCCTAGCTCCTGTGAGACCTGAGTGACTCTATTTTAAAATTTTGGCCCCATTTTAGAGTAAGGTGGCCTAGACATAGATTTTAGTTCCAAAAAAGCCCACAAGATACACTTTGGCCACCTGTCTGTGATAATGGTCAACAGTCCCCTAGCAACTAGCCTAACAACAGCTAATTGGTAGCTGCCTCAATGTCCCAGATGTTCTTTTCGATGGCCTACCACAGCTAATCAGTAGTTACCCCAATACCCCAGTATCCCAGATGTTCTTTTTGATGACTTGAACAGCCGTTTGCAGTTAAGCACACAAGGCCCAACCAATTAGGTTTAAACTTTCAAAACTTGCTAAATGCTAGCCAATTGTGTGATCTGCGTGTGATTTGAAACCCTGCGCCTTTTTAAAACCCCGCGCCTTGCTGTAACCTCTATAAAAACCCCTGGTGTTTTAGAGTCAGGGCTCTCAACCCTGACCTGCTATGTCGGTGTCAGATAAAAGTCCCTGCTCGAGCCTAAATAAACGACCCTTGTGTGTTTACATCAAAATCGGCTCCTTGGTGGTCTTTGGGGACCTTGCGATCTGGACACAACACTCCCAAACCCCGCCCCACTGGCACAAGGCAGGGCACAGGAGCAGACAGGTGCTGGGTGGACTGAAACAAGGGAGGCAGGAGACTTGAACTCTAGCCCTTGGATTTGAACTGTAGCTGTGGGTCTGCTTTCCCCCACTTCAGTCCTATCATCTGTCAAATGTCTGAAAGGACAAAAATGTTACCTGCTATCTGTGTCATGGGGTAGTCATGAAAACAAACTGATTAAAATGGTTGGCAAGTTTACCAAAGCACCACGAGGAACCTGCAGGCATCTTCTCATCCCTTATTAACAGTACTCCAGAGAACGTGCACACTGCAGTTTGGTCATTCCCAAAGCCCAGCTCTCCAACTTGTTCAGTAAGACTGAGCTGGGCTCCCAAAGACAAACACTGCCCCTAGCTGGAATCCACGTGTCTGGACTCAGGGAGGAAGTTAGCCAACCACTTGCCTGCCCTGAAAACCAGGGGCAAGGAAGAGAAATAGCCCAAAGGCCTGCTTGAGAGACAGACAAGATCTAAGAGAACAAATGTAAGAAGCAGGGAAGAAAGCATGTGGCAGTTCCCAGGGCTAGAAGTGTTCCACTCCAGCCCCAAGATGCAAGTTGGCCCTCATCTGCAGGGGCAGCATTCTCTAGTCCAGTCTGTGCATCAGGCAGTTCTGTAAACCCAGTCACAAATGGGTGTGGGAATGGGAGGCAGACTCCCCTCATGGCAGCATGAAAGCAGCTTGAGTGCAGGAGACCGGCCAGGTGACATTTCACCATGGGCTATGCTGGGGGAAGCAAGCCTACATGTTTGGCAGTGCTTGGGCAGAACTAGGTCCACCTCTTGGCAGAGTTATTGTAGGGAAACTGGTGAAACAAATGACCTTTTATGACTTACCTGAGATTTCATTTCTCCTGTATGGCTTTTAGACAGGGAGCTAAGGTTTATGTGCCTAATTCAAATGGAAGCCACCTTCTTCAACCATGTGCCCCTTTTCTCCAGCTCAGTTCTAGGGCACCTGGTTTTCCCTTCATCCTGGGGTCGTGGCCTCTCTTCTCATAAATGACCTGGGTTCCAAATTCTAGAACGACCAAAATGAGCCCGTCTTTTTTTTTTTGCTGGGATAAACCAAGGCAGGTTTGTCCCAGCAAACCCAAAGACAGAAAGGTAGATAACACAGGACAGTGATGAGGGAGACTTAGTGGTGCCTCCTGTCCTGCCCTGCTGCCATCTGAACCCTTTTCTTTGTTTTTTTTTTTTCTTCTTTTGGTACTGGGGATTGAACTCGGGTCCTTGTGCTTGCACAGCAGGCGGCGAAACCACTGAGCTAAATCCCCAGCCCCTGAACCCTTTTCTTTACTCTAGATTTGTTTGGCTATATAGGTCTCCCTTGGTCTCTCCACAAGAAACCTCTACTTGGTAATCAGCCCAGAAACCAGGAATTGTCACCTGATTTGGATATCTGAAATGAAGGTGGGTTTTTAAAAAAGGAGAATGAACTCGAGGGGGAAAGGAGCCCCTGCACTTCGGGCATGTTCCTACAGCTCCCACTGCAGGTCCTGGACCTGGAGAGGTGAGCAGGAGCAGAGGAGCAGCAGGCCAGCTTCAGGGGCTGGCTTGACCAGCTCGGCTGCTGCTGCCATTCCTAAGACAGGAGGCAGCTGGCTCTGACCTTCACCAACAGGTGAGCCCATCTGACCCTAAAGGATTTCCAGCACTTCTCAGGTTCCCCTACCACCTTCCTCTACTCAGTCTCCAGCAAACAGAAGTCCAAGAGACATCTGCAAGTAAGAGAACTAGTCACAGTCCACATCTAGGACAAGGTACAGAAACACGTCTGAGGCCCTTCCCCCTGCCCTGTATGATTCTAGGAAGAACTAGGTATGGTGAGGAGTGACCTCTTCCTAGAGTAAAACAATCTTGATGTCTGGATGACTCTAGCAGTGGCCTTGTCTTGCCTTCCACTCAGCCTGCCAACATGCAGAGAGCCCTCCCAGGTGACCGCCACAGTCTAGAAGCTGGGATGTGTGCAGGTGTGACTAGAACTACAAAGCCATGGCCCCTGCTTTTACTAATTTTAGGTCCCTGCATTTACTCCTGGAAGTTTAATTGGCTCTAATCCTATCACTCAACCTTGTATATCTGTTGCTTATCTCCTTGCCTGACTGTTCCAAGGTGACTTCTAGGAGTTGACTTAATTCAACTTAAATTAGATCACCTCCGAGGCAGTATCAGAATACAGTATTAAGCTGTTTAACCTAGGACCTCATCAACCATCCAAAACTAGCAACAAAAGCATTATGGATCTTAAGGAAATAAAAATCAGGTAGAGGTGATACAACCTCCTTAAGAAACATAAAAAATGACCCCTCATCTAATGCACAGACTCATTTTACGTATTCTTCCCCTAGTTGAAGTCGTATATAGCTCAACAAGTTTTCTGATATGTGAAAATCAGACCCGAATTGGGGGTAGATAGGGAACAAATGCTATGGCTTTTCCTTTGGATTTGGCGCGAAAGCACCAGAGCTCCTTGGAATCCATGATATTTCTCTGAAGCCCTCTGTATTAGAGTTCTGAAATAGAGAAACGGAACCAGTAGGATATTTAGAGGAAAGGAGGAGTGTGAGTTCTTATATGGAATTTGCCCGTGTGGTCATGGAAGACAAGAATTTTTATGATCTGCTGTCTGTAAGCTGGAGAGCTGGGAAAACTGGTGGTGTAATTGAATCCTGTTCAAACACCTGAGAACTGGGTAAGTCTGGTGGAAATCCCAGTCAGAGCCAGAGAAGATGAGACAAGTTGTCCCCGCTGGAGTAGTGAGGCAGGAAAAGGGTGACTCTCCTTCCTTCACCTTTTGTTCTATTCAAGCCCTTAATAGACTGGGTGATACTCACCCATGTTGGGGAGAGCCATCTACTTTACTGAGTGCACCCACTCAAATACTAATCTCATTAGAAACATCCTCACAGACACATCCAGGATAATGTTTTATCTGGGTATCCTGTGGCCTAATCGATTTGACATAACCATCACATCCTCCTTTCTCATAGTCCCTTAAACCCAAACAAACCTGTCCTCTACAAAACCAGAAATAGGTCTAAACCAAAATAAACTCTGGGCTCCTTTGCAGTAACTTACCTGGAAAGTGCTGGGTTCTTGCAGGGATCCCATCAATTAGGTGCACCACCCAGAGGAAGTGACTAAACCTTTGTTCTCAGCTGCACCAGTTTTGGGAGGATGATTGTCCACCTCCATACTTCATGATGTTTTTGCAAAGATTTTGTTTTTAAAGCTAGAACCTAAGATGTGGGAGCTCTGCACACGTTTTGTAGGAACATAGACTTTTATAGGAATATAGCCCTTGAGACAGGGCTAAGAACCATTCTTGCTCCCTGTTCACTTGGAAGAGCCTCAGGAACAACTCTTCAGGTATTGGCTGTGGGCTTTGAAGACGAGCTGTGAGGAAGTCAGGGAAGCTGGGAGATGGAACTGGGAAGGCTGCAGAGAGAATGCAGGTCCAGGGGACCATTACTCAGGATCAACTGGAGGATGGGAAGTAGGGAGGGTGGGGAGAAAGTGATGTCCTGGCATCACTGAATGACCACAGTTTAGAAGAAAGAGAAGTCTCTTCATGTCTGGGCCTGCAGTTTTGAGCCAGAGCGAGGCTATTTTGTTTCCAGCCCTGGGGACTCCAGTGGAGTCCAGATCATCAACATGGTCAGTTGCCCTGCTGTTCAAGAATGTGGAGACTTGGGCCGGGGATTTAGCTCAGTGGCACTGTGCCTGCCTGGCAAGTGTAAGGTCCTGAGTTTGATCCCCAGTACTGAAAAGTAAAATGTGGAGACCTAACATTTTGCAAACTCAACTGCTGAGTTTAAGCCAGAACTACATACATGGGGTTGAGATCAAGACTGAATGTCAAGAGCTGCAATTTGTGGACTGCCTATGTAACTTCAGCTATGTCAAGTCAATGAGATGACAGGTATGAATGCTTTTAAAAATTAAAAAAAAAAAATAGGGCCAGGGATTCAGCTCAGTGGTTCCGCTGCCTGCCCAAGTGCAAGGAGCAGAGTTTGATCCCTGGTACCAAAAAAAAAATGTTAATTCTATTATCTGTTAGTGACATCTTATCCAATATACTCAAACAACTTATTACAGATTCCCTAGGTATGTGTAATTCTCTAGGCTTTTTATTGATGGCTATGGTGTAGTTTAGTGGGCAGATTACCTTCATTAAATGCACAATTATTTCAGATCCCTTCTTTATATCAGCCTCTAAAATATGTTGTAAAGGAAAACAGACAATGATCGACCAGGCCATCTTAGAGCCACAGACAACATCGGAGAAAATATTTAATGGCACCCCTGCCAGATTTGAGTCCTCATTCTGTAATGTGAAGAAGAAGGGTATGAAGTGGTAGTGTTTTAAAATAAGTCAACGATACATTATGGTGACAGTTTTGTAAATGAAAACAGGCTGAATTAAAAATCATTTAGACTGTGTTAGTGATTACCCTGGTGTCCAAAGTAATGGTTCCAAATTTGAGGACTACGTTCATGAGAAAATGAGCATCACTAGAGACCAAATATTTACAAAAAATTCAATGTTCTATCCTTTTTTAATGTTCCATTTATTAATCATCACTGTAATCCCAATTTTTCCAAACCCAGCTCTCAGTTCTTATTACTCTACCATGAATTTAAATGCAGATTAAAGATCTACCATTTATCTTATCCTCATGTTTTTCTGAATTTTCATAATCTTAGTGGATTTATAAAAGAACTCACATGGGCTGGATGTGGTGGTGCATGTCTACGATCCCAGTACTTTGGAAGCCTGAGGCAGGAGGCTTGCAAATTCAAGCCCAGCATGGGCAATTTAATCAAGACCCTGGGGGTATATACCTCAGTGTGAAGTCCTGGGTTCAATCCCCTAAACCACAAAAAAATAAAAAATAAAAATAAAAACAAAGTTTCACATAAATTCACAGAATACCTTTTCTCTTGAAATAAAAAAGAGATGAAAGACAATTTAAAATATAAATCAAGTTCATTAAAGTATAACTCAAAATGTTTCAGGTGCACAGTGAAAAAGTTTATTTATGACAGATTTCAAAACTCTGAAGAGAAGACAAAGAATGCACAAAAGCATCACAAAATTGTTACATAATATAAAAACACAAGAACCAAGCTATTTAAAGAACATAGCTGGGATCATCAGTGTATCACAGCAACACACTGAGTGCCACAGGGTGATAAAATCTGGTATTTTAAATGAAAAGCCACTCAGCAGGACATAAGGATTAAGTTAACAGTTTGGGGTTCTTAACATAGAAATTGTTGATATTGACAGCATTTCTCGAGAGGGTGACATATAAAACAAGTTGACTACAATAAATGATTAATTAGGATATTTTTGTATTTTAAAGAAAAAAGACAAGGCTGAGACAGTTCTCCTTCAACATCCCTTTTTTAATGTCAGCATCAGTGTATGATGTAGAACAGAAGGGAAAGACTGTCTTCACGGTTGGTAACTGCTTAAATATTGACTAAGAAAAATTATTATTATTATTTTTTTTTAGAAAACATTACTTTCAATTAACTGATAGATGAGTACATAGCAACAAAGCAGATCCTTCAGAAATATAAGCTAAGTGGCATAAAGTAGTTTAGGAAATCTTCAAGCACCGTCCTGTATTCCCATTATCCTTACCCAAAGTCTTTCTTAGGATGCACTATTTTGATTACTAAGCATTTATAAATGATTTTTTTAAATGTAAAGCATCCCAGCATTTCTTCTGGGAATTTCAAAACACTTCCCATTATTATTAAGGGAAAATGGTTGTACCAGAGTCATGGATCACAGGACTACTTGCTTTCTATAGACTTTACTTGTTTTCCAACATGGGTAAATGGAAATAACTCAGCTTGGTTCAATGAAAGCTAATTAACTCATGGGACAAAATCTCAGGAAGAGGCCGGGGATTTAGCTCAGTGGTTCTGCTGCCTGCTTTGCAAGCGCAAGGACCGGAGTTCGATCCCTGGTACCAAAAAAAAAAAAAATCTCAGGAAGAGACAAGTGGTATTTTTAACATGGACTTCTAAAGTAAAATGTACTGTTTAGGACATAAGAGAAGGAATTAAGGTATCTTCCAGATGATTCATGGTCCAAACCTAAAATCAACAATAACAATCTGTAACAAAGGATATTGCAGACTAGGCATTGCAACCCTGAGTGATGAAGAAAGTTCAAGAAGAGAGACCCTTAAATTGACAGGGCTCTTCAGTACCACTATATACCACTGGTATACAGTATTATACCAGTGGTGGCAAATCTATGGCACGCATGCTGTAGCAGGCTGTTTGGATCATTGAAAGTTCTAAAAGGTTCACCATCGCTGCTATATACAATGTATTTCAACCCAAAACTTCAGAACTGTTTATAATCCTATATCAAAACTTTAGAAAATACAGTCCCTGAAAGTAATTTCATATATTTTATTTTTTACACTTAAATAAAACAAAACAATCTGTTTCAATGATAAGAAAACTGTGAAATTTCATAAAATAGCCCATATCTCTAAATTTCTAGGACATGTTTTCAATATATCTTAGAGCAGTGGTGGCAAACTTACAGTACGTGTGCCACAGTGGGCTGTTTGTATCACTGTAAGCTCTAAAAGGTTCAGGATCACTGTCTTAGAATAAAGAAGAGTAATGACATGAAATGCGATCTACGTGCCTGGGGCCTATAAGAAAGTACGGTACATATAACAGAAATCAGATCAGGAGTTCAAATCAGTGACCAGGATTACAAACAACTTTAAAGCCTCTTGTCTTGCCTTTGGACTTAGTTTGTGAAGAATGAAAATTTTTAAAGGAGCCGTGCTGTCCATACTATATCGAGCTCTAGGCTATTAACTGTGTTTTCTTAGTGTCAATACAAGGAGTTTTCAAACAGGAGAGCCTCTGTGTTCCTGGTCAAGTGGGAACACTGCACACTCCAGAGTGCAGCGATTCCGAAATCTGGCCATGCAGTGCTTAGTAAAGTTTTCTAACCTTTGGGTCAGATACTCCAGCCTAACTTCTCACCTACAATAACTGAGATAGTATTTAGGGATTTACATAGTGCTAGAGGAGTTCCATGGAGCAAAGGGCTGCCACTGACCATCACCATATGCACACACAGCCAAAGCAGTTCTTGCCTGAATGTCTCCTTCTATTCCCAAAAAGAGGCCACCAGGAAACAAGAGTACTTGGGTCACTGGAAAGCAGATACTTATGACTGGCTTTTGATACTCATTTCCTACTCTCCAAAGAAGCACATGTGATGACTCCCTGAGCACAAACACACAATGGATAGAAGGACTTACACTCCGTAAAGAACATACATCCTTTAACAAGCTACCTACCCGTCACACAGCAACGAAATGGAATTACCTTCCTTCAGACAGAACCACCAAGAATGCAGGGATGGCTACTCTTCCCTCTTCCAGCAGATTCTGGTATCTAGGTATTCTACACTTAGAAACTAGTTAAACAGGTTGATGTGCATCTTTTAGCCCCCAAGGGAAACTAAACAGAGGTCCTATGATGGAGAAAAAACTGTGTGTGGTGTGTTCAACTTACGGCTTTGTGTGCAACCATCTCACATAGGTTACAGTTGCCAATGTGGCGGGCTTTCATTGGGCCTACAATGAAATGATCCAAACCCATTCATACAGTTTAGGCTCTTAGGTAATGATGATCAAATGAACTTATTTCATCCTTATCCAAAACCAATTGTGACTACAGTACCACAGATGGAATTAACTCCTCTCAGCCTTTTTCTATCTATCTTTTCCATGGCATTACTCTTAAATCCCAAAGAACAAAGAGATGAAATTAATCCTCAGGTTAGCATTACATTTAGCAGAGGAGTCCTACTCAAAAAGATTTCTAGTTGAATCTGAGTGTGGTGGGGCATGCCTGTAATCCCAGCACTCTGAGAGGCTGAGGCAGGAGGATCGCAAATTGACGCCCAGTCTGGGCAACTTAGGCCCTGTCTCAAAGCAAAAAATCAATTAAAAGGGCTAGATTCAATCTCCAGTATTGCAAAAAGGAAAGAATTTTTTTAGTTGATACTGTTAGAAAGACCATAAAGGAACTTGGGAATTCTTAACATACCCAAGGAGAACCAGTAAGACTTCATTAGAACAATTCTAATGAACAAAATGCAAAGTAACATATTAAATTAAATTAGGATAAAAGCAAAATTCTTAAATATGTTTGAGACCTTTGCTTTCCCCTTTTGTTTTCTTAGTCCTTGCTATCAATTTAAAAGGCAGTTCTCAGGTGGCACAAAATTGTTTCAACCTCTGCCCCTCTCTCATTCTCCACTGAAACAAAAAACTTTTATGTGTATACTGGAGTTACTCAACGCCAAATCTTAAAACCACAGACTTTGAGGTTAAAAGGCAAGTTTCTGCAGAGAAATGGTCTTTAAAAATATATACAAAATACAGACTTCAGGGTTTGGATTTTCCTTAATCCTCTTAAGCGGGACTAAATAGGGGCTCAACAAAAATTTTATGTTCTAAATTTACATATTATAAATTTCACAATATCTAATTCCATTGACTAACATAAGACTTACTGAGCTTACAGATGTAGTTCTTCCATATCCACATTATAATGGGACAATAAACACTTTTAAAAGTCCATTTTGCTTTCCTAAATAACAGATAAAAATATTTTTTAAAGTGCATGAATCAATTCATTAAGAAAAAATATTCTAATTTCAAGTTGCTATCTACTTGTAATAAAGCTACTGTTATCTAAGGATTGAGTTTGAATTTCAGAGTCCTGAGGATGTATCATAAAGCAACACAGATTAGAATAAAAGTCTCCAGAGCAGCTTCTCAAGTACCTTCACACTGACATGCCAATTAGAAAGGAAAATGGTGGAAATCATAGCCTGAGGAAAAGGAGAAATTCAGCACAAGTTTTGAAAGAGGGAGACCAAGACTAGTGACATCCCAAGTAAACTACGTTGATAAAACAGGCCTGCTAAAAACCAAGACTCTCTGACACAGGAGACTTGATATGCATAGGAAACATTCTCTGACTGACACTTGCCAAGAGAAATGGGTTGAAATTATCCTTATTTAAAAATTAGCAGTTAAAAGCCAAATACGGTGGCACATACATATAATCCCAGCACTCGGGAGGCTGAGGCAAGTGGATCACCATGAGTTTGAGGCCAGCCTGAGCTACACAGTGAGTTCAAGGCCAGCCTGAACTACATAGTGAGATCCTGTCTCAAAAAAACCCTAAACCAAAACAAAAAAAAAAAAATTAGCAATTGATGGGGCCAGAGATTTAGCTCAGTGGTTCCGGTGCCTGCCTCAAAAGCACAAGGTCCTGAGTTTGATCCCCAGTATCAAAAAAAAAAAAAATTAGCAGTTGATAATTTTAAATTTTATGTGCCATATGTGTGTGTGTTTATACTTTTTTTATTTGTTGAGAATTTTCACAATAAAATGCTGGAAAAAATAACACTTTAAATATGTCTTCCTAGCTGGGCATGGTGGCACATGCCAGTAATCCCAGCACTTGGGAGGCTGAGGCCTGTAATCCCAGGAGGATTGCTGAAAGTTCCAGGCCAACCTGGGCTACATAGTGATTTCAAGGCCTGCCTGAACTAATAGCAAGACCCTGTCTCAAAAAAAAAAAGTTTTCTTTTTTTTTTTTTTTCTGATACCGGGGATTGATCTCAGAACCTTGTACTTGCAAGGCCAAAAGTTTTCTTTTTCTAAAAGTTTCATCTCTCAACAAAGTAGCAAAACTAAACAAACTAAAGAAATTTAAGAACCCAGCCACTCTGTGTAGAGAATTCAATCTCTCCCATACTATGAAGCAATTTAACTGTTTCTTAATATTTAATTGTGCTCTAGGGAACAGAGTAGCATGAAGGCAAATGATTTTTCATTGTTTGGTTCTATAAACTTGAACAGGAAGGGACTGAGGAAGCGACCACCTCTAGAATTTGCTGGGCCATAAGTTCTCAGTAATTACCTGTGCTTCAGTAAATATTTTGTTCCTAAAGTTCAATTATTTTAGAATTTTAGTATGAGAAGAGTGAATCCATTCAACAGTGCAAATATCTTCTTCTAGCTATTTTGTGTTAATGGAACAAAGAATCCCCACTGAGAAAAAAAACAGTAAGGAATATAATGCCCAGAACTTCAAAAGGGACCAGACAGTAAGAGGCACATGAAAGTGATGAGATCAAGTCTTCGGCTTCCCTGATGCAACAAAACTAGGATTCAAAAGAAAATAAGCAAAGACAATTCCATGGCAAAAGTAAAAATTAATACGTATTATCCTTGGGAGCTTACTATGTATGACCTGATAGCTCCATTTTGAAAGAAACTCAGAAGTTGATAATAAACAGGAAAAATAAGCAAGGCTTTTGCTGACTGGAAAACAGCATAGTAGAAAATTGTTTAACAAAGATTATATTCAATTAGCTAAGGCATGATTCAACTTCGGTGATGAAAGAGTGATCACCCAGCTATCTGATGGGATGATGCATAGCAAGTTTGCTTTTCACTGCCCAAACAGTCACTGAAATAATTTATCACAATGTATATAAATTTTGCCCAGTGTAATCTATAAAATACATCTACAGGGCCAGGGATTTAACTCAGTGGTACTGCACCTGCCTTGCAGGCACAAGGTCCTGAGTTTGATCCCCAGTACTGCAAAAAAAAAGAAAGACAAGAAAAAAAAACCCCAAAATACATCTATGATGATTAAATAATGGAAGTATGATGCTGCTGAGAGAATAGGAATGCTAAGGCCATCCACAACATGCTATTCTTCTTGGGGCTTTGCTTCCAGGGGACAGAGGGTCAGGATGTATTGCCTTTTGCTCCTGACAATATGCTACCACAGAACTATTGAGGGGAGTCCTGCTCTTACAGTGACTGCTTCTATAGGGAGAGTGCAAGGCATCCATATAATGAAGGCATGAGCCAAAGGAAACTGCATGAAACAGGAGTCAGAGGAGGCAAAGGACTATGAAATCCTGGAATCACAGTGATTAGCTAGTCACTGATTGGCCAGTTAGTTCCTTTGCACTCAAATCCCAGCAAATGGGTGGATTCCATCACAACTTGGAATTCCTCACAGGGAGCGCGGGGCTGTACCTAAATATAGGGTAGGCTAGTGTCATCCATGTCTGAAGGAGCAGACTCCTCCCAGAGTATCACAGGACTGACCTGCAGGAATGAACTTAATCGCTTCCCACATTCTTCTACAATTATCATTTTAACTCTGTAAAAGCAGTGGCCTCTGTGGCTCTGAGCAGATGGGAAGCCTTCTGAGAAACGGATGGAAATGGTTTGAAAGGCAAAATGAAATATGCTAAAATAAATAAGTAAAGTAATAAATAAATCTAGTTATTCAAAATTGGAAGGGAATAACAGACTTAATATAGGAATGAAAAATAAGGAGGTACAATCGACTGCCGAGAGCCTCACCTCATCTGGTGTTCCTTCTCCATCTGAGGCCCTGGCACCTGGTGCTCAGCACTGGGTGCAGCACCAGCTGCACTCCCTGGTGCTCCTGAGCATCAGAGTGAACAGAGTAAGAAAGGCTGCCACCAGGGAAATGCAAGCTTTGGTCAGGTAAAGAACACATACAATCAGCAGCAACAGTGATGTTTCATTATCACCTTTCCTAAGGGACTCCGAACACCAAAAACTTTAAGCCCACAATGCAAAAAACCTAAGTCCAGAAACTTTGGACACCTGATTGGGTTGCACTGCATTTGGTTCCAAAGAAAAATTTCTACATAACACTCCCACCATAAAGACAGGAGGGGTAAAAAAAAGTGGGGAATTGGGAGTGTTTTTTTGAACTCTTTCTTTCAAATAATATCATTCCTTCTTTAATTATATATATTTCAAAAATTGAGTAACACTTGACTTTCAAAGGTGTAGGTTCTGAGATCAATTCAGTACCTAATTTCCACCCTTTCTGCATTTAACTTCTGGTACCCTTGGTAAAGGAAACTAGTTCTTGAAACAAGAAATGACAGAGGCCAATTTTCTTCCCAGAAGATCTTAGGTTACACTGATCATCACTTTAGATTCCATGAAAAGTTCTTGCTGTGTGGCAAAAACACAGACTCAGGAAAAAGAAAAGGAGTCTAACTACCAATAATAATAATATTCCTCCAAGGCAGTGAGGTCTCCCATTCTGTGCTAGAGACCAAGAATACCCAGCAGGCAGGAATATGGCAGTGGTGAGAAGCTGGACAGAGCTTTCTCCATCGCAGACAATGTGCTTTCCCCTCTTCTGGCACCTCAAAAAGTAAAGAGGGTGGGTGCCACCAAATGCATTGGCATTACGGGAGCAAGCAGCAATCTGAATGATAAGCCTTGTACCAACACAAATCCATTTTTAAAAGATAACATTCTACTTCCTTTTAGGCTTTTGCCTGGTAGGTTCCTTCAGAGAGGGATTTCGCTGGAATTTGAAGCAACAAGAGCGTGAGTCAGGGACCACAGAACAGGGGCACTATACCACCAACTGCAGAAGCCAAGAAGGGGAAAAGGCTATGTGAGGTCAACAGTCAGGCATGCCAGGCAGGGCATGAGGCCCAGGAGCCTCACACAAACTTTCAGCTCTTGTCTTGCCTATCCAAAACAAGAGGCACCAGCTCGTAGGCTGCTTCAGCCAGAAAATATGGCCTGCCCCCATCCCAGAGTCCTTCAGCTAGTGTAGTAGATGTGAAAGTAGAGAGTCTTGTTGCGTAGCAGGGAGTAGGAGTTGTCAAACTTGAGCAGGTAGATGCCCTCACCAGGGTAGTCATGGCTGCCAGCCTGCACATCTCGGTGGCTGTCTCGTCGGTACACAGGCATGACCTCCCCGTAGCGACCCCGCAGGGAGCTCCTGGAACCTCTCTCCACATCTCCCACAGGAACAGGTTCTGCAAGAGCAAAACAGCAGAGTATTTCGATGTGAGTTCAGAGACTGAATAATCCTATCTGAAGGTAAGAGGGTAGGCCAGGGGGACCCTGTGACTTCTGCCTGGGGATGCTATTTGCCCTGATATGGGTATTTCAAAATATCTGTGAATCCTTTTGGTCATTACAGTGACCACTGAGTGATACTGACATTTAGTACCTCAGGGTCTAGGAGTGCTAAAATCAGGATAGTATCTCTGCAACAAAGTGGTGCCCATTCCAAATGCCAGTGATGCCTCCACTAAGAAATAATAACAGCTTGATAAAGTCTGGGTACCTGGATGCTTCTGATGGGGCAAAGGACATTTAGAAGTGAAGATATGAATATTGTTTCATTTAGTAGGTGAAAGGACTATCTAACAGAAGTAGGAAATGCAGCTGGGAATTTGGCTCAGTGGTTCCGCCGTCTGCCTCGCAAAAAAGAAGCAGGAAATGCAGATGAATACACTCCATAGAGTGACCCTAAAAGTTCCACCTAAAAAGCAGCAACTAAGATATAAGGTCTTCCTCTTCTATGAATACTTGCAGATTTCCTTGCAGACTTGCAAGACTTGCAGGCTTGCAGTCTTGAAGGAACAAGTTAAAGGACTGATTTTAAGGTTATATAAGAATCAAGGAATAAGACTAAAGCTTAGAATCTGCTCCTAGATTATCCTTTCAAAATGTCTCAGGATCATTCTGAGTAGATATTACAAATAAAAACTGGAATGTCACAGAGACTACTTTTAAAACTTTTAAAACTGCTCTGGCTGTGAAGCAGAAAGTAAACCAGTAGTCAGCTATGACAGCTTAGAAGGAGAGAGAAGGAGGAGGAAATTATAATCACTCCGTTTGGTTTCAAGCTGAGGATAAATATCCTCAAATCAAGAGAGAAATGTAATATGATCTGTTTAATATACAATCTAGAAAATCCTGACTCACCCCTTCTCTGCCCCCACCCAATCCCCAGCCTCACAGAGAGATTCGGGTAATGACTAGGTACTGAGTAAAAGGAAAGGCAACTTTCGACTAAGGCATCAATACCAACCCCATTAGAATGTTCTCTGAGGGTCTGACTTTGGCCTGCACCCCTCAACTTTAGCTTGCTATGTTGGGTCCTGCACCTGTAGTATTCCTGGATTCTCCTTGAGTGCATTCTAAGGAAGAGGACTACTACCACCCAGGAAGTGGTCACTAGAAATTAGGCCGAGCCAAAGAAGAAAACTGCAAATTGTTACAATTTTATTTACCTTCAATGCCCTCCTCGTCATCTTCTTCCTCCTCATCTTCACTGGAGTCACTGACCTGCACAGTTATATCGGTGCTGGTAACAGAGGTCCAGTCAAAATAAACTCCAAATCCAATGTCATAGTCATCAGTCGCAAACTCCCAGCAGACACGCTTCCCCTCTGGATGGGTAGGTACCCGGATGGTCACCACCTCACCCCTCTTCACTACCAGACGGCTGTTCTTCTCTTTGCCCAGCTTGCTTTTGAATTCCTTCACCTTGGCAAAGGTCCAGATGCATGGAGGAGCCATCAGAGGTGGGGAGACTGAAAGGACAGACACATTACTGGAAAACCGTGAGGAAATGCTACCACACCTGACATTTTACTTAGGGAGATTAATGTAGTCTAAGACATTCTGTTGGTTTCTCTCACTTCCTTTCACAAGTCATTTTCTCTCCTTCTAGCTGCCTGTATTCTTTACATAACTACTAAAAACAAACAAAAAACCACTTTCTATACGTCCAAAGGTCTCACCTTTCCTGTGGTCCCCCAGAAGATCTGCAGATTCCAAATCAGATGAAAGAACATCTATGGTTCCTGTATGCTCAGACTGGATCATAATGATGTCCCCAGATCTTTTTGGAACTTGGTACTTGGCCATCTGCATAATAGAACTCTGGTTTAAAGACATATTAGAGTGGCAGATTCCAATGAGCCTCTTTCCAAACAAAGCCTGACCCACCTGGCCACCCACTCCCTCAATTTAAAGCTTAATGTGCTATTCAATATTCTTTCTCTTTTTTCTGGGTATAAACTGCTAATAACTTCTATATATTTAATGTCACCAAAATGTTCCATAGCTTAAAGATTCTTTCTTATTCTTTCCTACCTTTTGCAACTCCTGCTCCAAACTCTATAAAATCCTTCTCCACAAACATCCTCTTAGCTTGTTACTGATTTCTGCATCAAAAGTATTTCTGGGCCATGCCTTGTTCTCATGTCAGCTTGCTCAGGACCACCCTGTGGTTTCTTTCATGGCAGCTCTCACATCTAGGGTTTAGCTCAACTCTCATTCTGCCACACATTCTCCTGCTATAGGGGTTACTTCTACATCAAGTGCTACTTCTCACTCAAAGGTTACTTCTACATCACTGTCAGTCAGTTCACCAAAGCACTGTCTATCTGTGTCTATCTCTCTCCCTTTCTTTCTCCCTTTCTTTCTCCCCATGGTACTAGGGATTTAACCCAGGGTCTCCTCATTGAACTTTTATTTTTCTTTTTGCAGTAGTGTCTCACTAAGTTGCCCAGGCTGGCCTCAAGCTTGTGGTCCTTCTCCTGTCCCAGAGTGCTGGGATTACAAGCATGTGCCACTATGTCTGATCTCTTTTTCCTTCCATTTCCCCCTCTTCCTCTGCCTTCCTTTCATCCACACCTCAGAGGACATGTTGTCTTACCCTCTATGTCACTAACAATGTTCTATAAATAATTACAATTTCATCTTAGATCTGCTCTAGGATTTGCATTTGAACAATATATTTGTTGCCAGATATCTGACTTGCATGGAAGAATACAAATGGAACTTGATACTCACAGCCCTCTCTTACCATGTCAAAGCCTGCAATCTTTACAGTGGGTTTCCCTGCATATCACTCAGATTATGCCCTTGTTTCACACTATTATACCTCTATGTCCTGCCCCTTCCCCAGTTGGTAGAAATGCAACAAAAAAACTATACCCACTGCCCACAGGGGAGAGCATGTCAGTGAATCAGCAATCCAGTTAAGAGGCTGGAATTGAATTTGTGAGAAATAAATAAACCAAGTTTGTAATCTTCCCAGGAGTGCTCTTCCAGTTCTTGTTTCAAGAGAGCAAGCCCTCCAGCTCTCACCTCCACTGCTAAGTGAAGTGAATCACGTTTTGGCTAGTATGCTTTAAGGAGTTCTTACTTTTCCAAAAGGCTAAACAATGGATTTAGTTTGCAACTTATTTAGCTGCATAGCTGTAATAAAGTTAATAACAGCCCTTAGTCTTAGTTTCCTCATTTGTTAAATGGGGACACGATGATATCCATCTCACAAGGTTATTCTGAGGAATAAATGAAGTGTTGTAGATAAGCATTATACAAATGTTATAATGTTTGGTCTTTTTTATTGATACAAATATCAATTTTATTCTAATACCTATGCTAATATAATACAAATAATCCTTACCTTCCATACCTTTGAGGCTAGAGGATCACTACTTATTAATACCACTTCTGTACAATCTTCTACCATAAGTACTAAATAGATCTTCCACAGGAAAGTGAGATTAAAACAGTTAATGACTTAAGTCTCATCACACTATGAGGATTTTAGTGAATATTCCTAACATTTCACTGTTTGAACAAGTGCCTGCTGCTAATTCAATTGTGGGCCCTGTGGGAGATACAGATAATTCTCCAATAATTAAAATCGAGATGGCCCAAAGGAGCAATGAGAGAACGCTGGGAACCAGAGTTCAGGAATCAGCAGTGTTTTAATTCTAACCGATCCATTATGTATCTAAATTCTGGTACCATAAATCCCTCCCCTTACATGAGAGACACAGAATATGCTCCCTACCTTGTTGAAGATCTGGCCCTGGTTTGCAGGCAGTAAATCCTGTTCCACCAAAGCCTGATTTTCCAAGGCACTGGCTGCTTTGCGTAGATCTTCCGTGGCATCCTTACTCCCTGGAGATACCATCTGTGGCCTCTCAGAGGATGAGAGCATGTCAATTTAAGGGCTATTTGAAATAAAACAACATTCAAAGGATACCCCAAACCCTATTCTCTGCCTTCCTCTGCACCTAGGTTTGCTGTCACCTCAGATGCCAACTGCCAAGGACAGAACTGGCCCAGGGTAAAAGAGTGACAGTGTAAGGATACACAGTGACAAAGCCACGGCTCAGGCTTTGGTAAACATGGTGAACCATGGTAAACACATACACAGTTCAGTCATCTAAGATGGACTCTATGTGTGCTTTTCTTTGTTGTTATCCTTTTATTTAATTTTAATAAAAATTATACATATTTTGGTTCTCAATATGATGTCTTGATATGTAAACATTGTGAAATGATCAAATGAGGCAAATTAATATATCTGTCATCTCATATACTTACTTTTTGTGTTGTAAAAACATATAATATCTACTCTAAGCAATTTTTGTATTTTTAAAATTTATTTATTTACTTTAACTCAAATCTTACAAATTTATGGGGTACATTGTGTTGTTTGATACCTGTAAACAATATTTAATGATCAAACCAGGGTAAATGACATATCCATCACTTCAAATACTTGTAATTTCTTTGTACAGAAACATTCCAAAATCTTTTGGTAGGCTGGGGATTTAGCTCAGTGGTTTCGCCGCCTGCTGCACAAGTGCAAGGACCCAAGTTCGATCCCCGGTACCAAAACAAATAAACAAACAACAACAACAAAAAAATCTTTTGGTTACTTTGAAATAACTATTTGTTAACTAGAGTCACCCTTCTGTGCAAAACTGAGAGAAGGAAGTATAATCACAGTGCATAACTTGACTCACAAAGAAAAAATCTTTAACAGCTGAAATAGGAATATATTTTTGTAATAAATAGCTGGGTTTCAGCCAAACACAAACAGTTGAGCTTCAGCCAATCCGAAGCCCCCAGTGGATCAGACCATGTCCAACGAAGGCAAAGGCCTCACTGTAACTAATCATAGAAACAACTAATAACTAAATAACTGATGTTATTACTGTAATTTATTTCTTGTTCAGCTACAAAAGGATGCTGCCCTCTGTACACAGCGGAGCTCTCTGAACCCCTTTCCATTTTGAGTTCTGCCCAAGTCATGAACTATTCTTTGCTCAAACTGTTAAACCTGTCTAAAGTTTTTCTTTAACACATAAGAGCAACATAAGTACCAAAAATGCAAAGAATAGAACTGCATTCTTTTTCACAGCATTAACAGGTATGTATCACCTGTTTCTTTTTAGATCATTTATTTCACTGTTCCTTGTTTTTAGTTGCTGGACTGTCTAAAACATAAATCTTGCCTTTTCCACCTTCTGAATTAGGAAACTTAATGTCATCCACCGTGACTTCACAGGTGACATTGTTATCCTCGTCCTTGGACCCTGAGCTCTCCTTTGAACTGTCTTGGGAACTCTCATCTGAACTATCTTCTTCTGAATCTGCCTGGTTCATCTCAAATGAAGCCATATCCATTTGTATAACTTTGCCAAGGGTCCCATCAATATTTTCAATACTGAAATGACCAAGGGGAGCAGCTTTCATTTCTTTTCTGAGCTTCTCATTTGCCTGGGCCATCTGTGGGAGAAAGTTCTGAACTTGGACCAGTAATGGACTTCTCTCTATCTAAACTGTTTGACAAGTAGAGATTTTTCTGGAATTAAGCTCAGAGGTGATGAGCAACTTGTCCCATATGACTCCTCGCCCACAGTCAGCACTCTTTGGACAGTGACACCCCCAAACACTCCAGTACGGGTGACGAAGAACTTGGGCTGGTACAGTACTCACTGAGGACCTCCATTGTCTCCACAGCCAGCCCTCTTGGCAATGTTTAAGTATGAAATATATTATTATTAACTAGAGTCAGCATGCTATGCAAAGATCTTCAGAATTTATTTCTCCTGTCTCACTGAAGCTTTATAGCCTTTGACCAGGACCTCTGAATTCGACCAGTCCCCCCAACCCTTCGTAACCACCATTCTTCTCTCTGCCTCTATAAGTCTGACTTTATTCCTCACTCTCAGACTCATGCCCATTTTTCCACACAGAACTGTAATGAAAGAAGAATTAGGTTCCCAATTTGGTCCTGCACACAAAACCACTGGATAGAAACAAAGCAGAGGCCTACCTAAGGCAGAAGTTGACCACCAATACCAAGGAAGTGCCAGCTGACAACAAGGCAATCCCTCTCCACAGTTCTCCCAGGGGCAATCTTTGAGCAGTTTCCCTTCATACCCTACCTACGCCAGTTCACTGCTGGGGACGATGACTTTCTTTCTTTTCAAGCACATTAAACAATTATCCCATGACTTAAAACACAACTTTGTGAACAGCTGATTTTGAAGAGGTAAGAGAATGATTTATGCTCTCTTCCTTTTTCCCTGGCTTTAGAGAAACCAGAACATGAGTTAAGTGCCAGGACTATAACACAATCCCCCAGGCCTTTTGAAAATCTGTTGCCAATAAGAGGTGACACGGAAGTTTTAAATTAGCAGTTACTAAAATATGGTCTGGGTTACCCTGGACCTCAAGACCCTTAAGGGAAGTCTGCAAAGCAAAAACTTTTTCATAATATTACTTTTTCCAGAGATTATATGATAGGCGATATCACAAAATAAATCCAGAAGCAGAGATGAGAACTCAATTAAGTAAGCCGAACATTAGAGATTTATGTTTTTCTCTTTACTATATAACTTTGCTATGGAAATTATTGTTTTTCATTAAACATGTACTGTTTATATATATATATATTTTTTGGTACCGGGGATCGAACTTGGGTCCTTGCACTTGCAAGGCAGGCAGTGAAACCAATGAGCTAAATCCCCAGCCCCATGTGCTGTTTATATTAATATGTAGGCAGTTATTATTGCTATAAATGATTATATCCTAATTTTTCAGTTTTAATTTCTAATACAAGTCTTTAATAATTTTATACTTACTTTACACTTACATTTACTTTAGGGCCTCCCTCCCCCAATTCTCTGTCTTTTTTCTTTTTTTTTTTTTTTGGTACAGAGGATCGAACTCAGGTCCTCACGCTTGTGCAGCAGGTGGCAAAACCACTGAGCTAAATCCCCGGCTCTGTCTTTTTTCTTTATTAATATAAATAAGGAAAATCATTCCTAGTGTATAAATAATTTATTCTTCAGGTAAACAGAGCCATCTTTTGGAATATCCAAGTCATTCCAATCTACCTTAGCTCAATCAATAAGAGGTGGTGACTATGAAAGTAAGGCTTGCTTGGGTAATACAGTGTAAGCCGTAAGTTGTGAGCCTACCTATTTTAATGGTGTTAAACTCAGAAATCCCAGTCCATTTCTGTATTGTGACACTGTTTATTATCTGTCTCCTTCACTACGAGCCAGTCTTGATGCCAGGGACTTGGTGTTACCCCCTCTGTATGCACAGCATCTAGAACCAAGACTGAGCACGGAGCTCTCAGGCTTCTTGAGCTATGACTTCATCTCCTAAAATGCCTGCTTTGCCCAGGTCACCTCAATGACAAGGGTCTCCTGAATCCTCTATAGTCCTCAAACCCATCAAGCAATCTTCCACTTCAGAGTCTTTGCATTTGATGTTTCTTCCCTCTGCTCTCTGCTCAATTATCACTTTCTGAGAGGTTTCCAAGATGTCCATCCATAAACTCACTCTCCTCCCTACTGCATCACTTTGTTTGCTAGTTGGTTATTTTGAGACAGAGTCTCACTATATAGTCTAGAATTCGTGATCCTCTTACCTCAGCCTCCCAAGTGCTGGGACTACAGGTATGTCCCACTACGCCCAGATCCCATCACTCTTTATGCCCTTACTCTGCTTTTTAAAAATTGTATTTATTACTGCTTCCCATAATATATACCATATTTTGTTAAGTACAAGGTACACATTGCTTTTAGATTTTAACACAACTGAAATACAGGCTATCTTAAAAATTGATGTCTTAAAATTGCCTTGGGCCTGGACTGACACAGAGTCCTCCCACAGGAGATTTGCATGTGCTTCTGCCACTGCTCATGAATACTACCAACCTTTGATTACCTGAAGTTAAGTTCTCTGTTCAAGGGTTTTGTTTAGGCCCTAATGACTACAGACTTGTGGTTCACATTCTCAGGGGAGGTATTATTTCCTCCCCTTACACAGTGCCAAGTTTGAGACATTCATGTTTCTTTGCTATCCTTTTCTATGTGGAGAGATTTTTCTATCTTTCCATTGAAAGATATTGAAGGTGCTGCCTTCTAGTATCCCTGTGCATGTGGGGTCCCCAATTAGGCCATCTTGAGAGTTAAGAAGAGAACAACACAGCTTACACGTGATGGCTACTCAGATTCCATGAGTCATGCTGTACTTGTTTTCTGCTTGCCTTCCCCACTAGAATGTAAGCTCCAAATGTTCATTTGTGATATCTTCAGTACCCAGACAGTATCAGGTACATGGTAGGGACTCAACAAATATCTACTGAACAAATAAACAGTAGATACGCAAAAATACTTGTTGAATGAGTAAATGAACATGTTAATTTTTATTTGGGACCAAAACAGGAATTCTGGATCAGACTACCATGTATGATATTGGGAAACAGAGCCTACAACAGTTATTCTGAATCATTAGCCTGACCTTATTGTCTATGGCATCTAAAATTGGGCTAGGGGTATAGTTCAGTGGCAGAGTGCTTGCTTAGGTCCTGGGTTCAAAGCCCAGCACCAGAAAAAGTAAATAAACTTGAAACTGAGTCTCTTCTTTGTATGTGTATACTATTTTGAACAAATATGGCTCTACTTATAAAAATATTTTAAACTGGATTGCAATAGCCACATAAATTTAATATTCACGTTTGTATTTTATGCTCTGGAGAATTAGCGAAGGGAATTTTGGGAAATGGAAATTACAAACCACTTGATGTTGGTGATAAGGCATGGAGAGGAAAAACCTCTACGTTAAATATGCCTTCTTTGTGCTGACCTGGACCAAGAGACCAGCCCACAGGGTGAGGAGAGCCTGGCCAGCTGGCCAGCCACCCTAGAAAAGTCAGAATGTTGTATTGTTTCCATTTCCAATAGATGCAAAACACAAGCACTAAGCTTCCAGCGCCCTGCTCTTTGGATTTTTTTCTTCACATAAAAGATATTAGAAACATGTCTTTAAAATTAAATATCGTTTTGTCTAAGAATGTTCTCCATTTCTCTCTCAGAAATGTATTTACATTTACAAGTGTAAAACAGTTCCACGCCAAAACTTATTCTCCAAAAAGCCTTCTCATCGACAAGTGCGGGAAAGGAACAGTAGTGGGAAGACAGAAAGGAGTTCTCCTTGGGGGATTCAATGAGAATGTGAATTGTTTCACATAACCAAAGCTTTGAGGAGGATTTTCACATACAGTAACCCAGGCGCTCTAAGCACAGAATTCAAAACCCTGTACTGCTAGTTATGAGGATAAAGTATAGCTACAGGAACTTGGGCAAACTGAACTCACTGTTCACTTCTTCATCTTAATAAAAACCAGGTATACTTATTTCACTGGGGTTATTATAGAAGTTAATGAGATCATACATTTTAATATCTAGTAAAATATTTAGCAAACAGGAACGATGAAAGTAACTTTTATTATCATTACAGATACTTCTTTCTCTGATGCATTTATTGTCATAAAAAAACTTCTACAAGCACTTTACCCAAATCAGTTGCTTGTTCCTACCTGTGAGGTGAGGAATGGGGTGCTGGATCAGAGACAGAAGCCAATGAAGAGGTGGTCTTGGTGTTTTCTACATCTTCATTCTCTAGAAAATCATGGAAAGAAAGAATTTAATATATGAGTAGGGCCCACAGCCATAATTATCTTGTATCTTTAAAACAAAACTAGCAGATTCAATCAACTTCCTCCTTCCAAAAAAATTTGGGCATAAACTTTATATTCTCAGAGGGCTAGCACAAAAATTATTCAACTGTTCACATCTAAGTAGTCTTAGATAGTCATAACTCATTCATAAAAAGGTAAGTATTTTGTAAAACAAGTCCCCACAAAATTAATCATATAAGAACTATATCTCTCAGAAAGTATATAGGTAAATTAGGCAGAACATAGAAGGCCGACTGGGATGTAAGATGAAATGAACTAAATTTACTATCAAAGTAGAGTCACCTCTACTTTCATTTGGTAAGCTCCAATCACTTTATTCATGTTAAAGGACTTTTATAGGTTCCATTCATTCATTCATTCATTCATTCTCCAATGATTTACTGAATAATGAGGGCCCTCGAGGAGTATATAGGTGAAATGCATAATGAAGGCTGTGTTCCTCAGCTCTCCACAAGCCTACAGGTTAGTGTCACATTGCCATTTTGCACGTAAGAAAACAAAAGCACAGAGATAGGATTCAGGTGGCTATGTTCTTTTTTTTGGTATCGGGGATTGAACTCGGGTCCCTGCACTTGCGCAGCAGGCGGCGAAACCACTGAGCTAAATCCCTGGCCTTTGGTGGCTATGTTCTTAATCATCAGTTTCATGGTTTACTTTACAGTCTCTTCTTGAACATGAGATAGCATGTGATTTAGTGCATTTAGATAGACCTTAGTTCTGTCCCTTAAGATAGAGGAAAATGAAGCCTCAAGTCCACTTCCCAATACAAGCTACCACTTAAAGTAAAACCCAAACACTGAGAGTGCCAGGGTTTGGCAGCAATATAAAAATAAAAATGACAGGATTTGTGATCTAACCTTACTCTAGTCTCCATTTCTCATATGTGAATAAGATGTATTTTTCTTTCTTTTGATTCCGTCTTATAGGTAGAAAGACCTTAGCACTCACACCACCACATTTTTCTCCCAAAAAAGAACTGAGTCTAAGATGCTCATGAGCTGCTCCTCAGTCTCTGCTGCTCTGTAAAGAGGCCCATTTTACTCAGGGATAATCTAAATACAGAGATCTCTCCTGTGTTGACCTAAGTGGAATCTGCTTCCTAATAAATTCTGTCTCTGACCACTCCTCCCCACAAAACCCTTTAACATATTTATAGTGTGGAGCTATGCTTCCTGCAATCTCCTTCTCCCTGAGCCATCTCCACATCAGATGGCCTTTGACCATGCTGGCCTCCTTTAATTGTTCCACTTAGTTTATTCCACTCAAAGTAAGAAGCAAAAACAGCTTTTTCAGAAGAGTTCTACTCCATACTAAGCACAGCAACAATAATCTCTTACTAATCACACAGTTCTTGGCATAACACCCTAGCCAGCCACTAGATTTTTTTAATCTGAAAACTTATCCTGTTGACCTAAATAAGTCAATAGAGATCTTCAGGGCTTCTAAAAATGAATTATTTTTTCCAAGCCCACCCTCTACTATGCTCTGGTTTTGAGACAGACATTTGTAAAATAATTGACGTTTTAACTGAAATTCAGGACTTTATATACCATTATTATTTATTTCAATTTTTAAAAATTACATTCCCAATGCATTTTCATTATAGAACAAACTAGATATGAAAACATCTTGCAGTAAAAAAACATTTTACATCTAAACTCACAGACTTTATTTCAATTAAAATGTTTTAAAATCACAAATAATTCATTACTCACTGTAGAAAATAATGAGAAATAACTCTAGAAATAATTCTAGAAATAATGTAGAAATAATTCTACTCACTGTAGAAAAATCAAAAATACAGACAAGAAAAATGACCACAAAAACACAAACAACTATAACTTCAGTAAAACAGACGCTATTAAGTCATCAAACAATAGATACTTGTTTGAAGTATATACCCTTTCTGAAATACATTTATGCATATAAATATATGTGTGCATTTATATGTGTGTATTCCTAAACAGAAATACACCAAATATTAGTGGAACATTTCAATGAACACTTTCCAGAATATAAACAGAACTGTATTATCATCTTAAATGGCTGCATCTTCCACTCAAAGGCTTTGGCAGGCATTTCTGATCATTTTCTAAGACTGATCACTATCTACTTTCACTAGAAATCAGAAAATGATTTTTCCAAATCTAGCACTTTTATACAAAGGCTGATCGAAAAATGGTGTTTTTAAAAAACATATTGCTATTAGTCCCTCTCAAAATATTCCCCTTCACTTAGAACACACTTATCCCATCATTCTTGCCACTTGCCAAAGTAGTTCTAAAAGTCCTCTTTGTGTCTTTACAACATGTGATCAAAAATACAATGAATGCTGAATGCTGCTGCCAAGTGCCATGCAATGGAAAGGTAGGTTGTTAAAATATTACCACACATCCTCATCTACCTAATTCAGTGGATCTGGCACCAGGCAACTTGTGACTTGTCCCTTAAGTGAAAAATGACCGTGAAAAGTAAATGTTTTAAATCAGTTCAGGGCATCAAGGCAGCCACCACAGGATGACTAGACATGAAGAGGACTTTCAGCACTACTTCAGAAAGTGGCAATAACAATGGAATAGGTGTTTCCAATTGAGCGGAAGTATTTTAAGGGGGATTTATGGCAACATGTCTTTTCACTGGAATACATTTTCAAAAATTTAAACATTCATTGCATTTTTTGATCACACTTCCTACATTTACTGGTTGGAATTTTTCTACTAAAAAAAGCATCCCCTCATCAACTATTTGGCTACTATGACATATACTTAAAAGGCAGGATAAAGGATTCTATTCAAATTATCAGAATACTACTAGAATGGTAGGTGAATGCTGATTTGTTTTTTGCAATACTGTTAGAAACATATGGATTTTACCATATTTTATGTGCCTCAGGTTTTCCTAGTTTGGGTCTGTAGAAGCTCCTTAGAGTTGGCTCCTGTGTTCCTTTAACAAAACCATAGCAGTCTTGCTTACAGTAAAAGTTCCATCTTATAAATGCCCTGCCCTGGACCTGTAATCAGCCATTTCTCCAAGAAACCCTAATTCTTTTTTTATGAGACTCAGCATTTTCACAGAGGCTCTGCCCTCATCATCACAGTAATGGGTTAGTTACTGTGGAATAGGTTCATTATCACAGAAGTGGGGTTCTGATAAAAGGATGAGTTCAGTCCCTTTCCCCTCATCTCTTTCTCATTGTGCTCTCTTGCCCTTCAATCTTCTGCCATGAGATGACACAGCAAGAAGGCCCTGTCCAGATGTGACCTTAGACTGTGTAATCCAGGCTAGCCTTGAACTCTCAGTGATCCTCTTGCCTCAGCCTCCTGAGTGCTGGGATTAGAGGTGTGCACCACCACGTCCAGCTCATGCAGTGTTATAGAAGCACAAAATGATTAAGACACATACACAAATATATATTTCATGAGTACTGTTTACAGAAGACTCATTTTAAATGTGAGGCCACACACAGGCTCAAAATGAAAGGATAGAAAAAGATATTCCATGCAAATGGTAAGCAAAAGAGAACACAGGTGGCTATATTTACATAAAATAGATTTCAAGTCAAAAACTGTCACAAAGAAGGGGATTATTTAATGATAAAGGAGTCAATCAAAAGGACATAGCAATTATAAATATAGGTGCATCCAACATCAGAGTATCTAGATGTATAAAGCAAATAATAACAGCCATGAACACAAATATGTAGCAATACAGTAACAGTAGTATCCACTTTCAATAGATAGACTGACCAGGGCCTGGGATTTAGCTCAGTGGTTCCTCTGCCTTCCTCACAAGCACAAGGTCCTGAGTTCAATCCCTGGTACCAAAAAAAAAGACTAACCAGACAAAATTAATGAGGAAATATTAGATTCGAACTACAACTCAGACCAAATGGACCTGTTGTAGTCAGGGAACAGATTTAATACAGGACACATAATCTGTAGGATTATTTTTAATATTCACCAAAAAAGTGCAGAGGAGTCCAAGAGATTAGCTGCACACTAGAAACCCGAAGAATCCACCCAAGGGCCTGGATCCCACAGCAATGTCCCTTACAAGTCCAGCTGAACGCCTAGAGTCTAAGGCAATGTCCTTCACGAGTCCAGCCAGTGGCCTAGAGCCCATCTACCACAAGGTCTCCAGGCTGTCCATATTGAGGATCTGCACCTGGAAGGCCCAAAGGCCAGTAGTGGAAGCCAGAAAACCTGTACTAGTGGGGTGAAGGATCTGTGCCACCAGGCTGAGGGATCATCTAAATTGGAGCCAGCAAGTGATGCTCACAGTGAAGATTAGAGCTCCCCTGACAAGAACAGCAGCCATTCCCAGCATCAACAAGGCCCTGAGCTCCTCCTCCAAGGAGAACAGTCAAGTTTGCATCAGGAAAATCAACCACAGGAAGCTTCTCCAAGAAAATCAACAGCCCCCGATCTTCCCCTCCAGTTCTTTTATGCTGTTGGCAACCATCCCCAGGTGGTTCTTCCACACTTAAACCATGCTGATTCAGTTCAGCTGGGTGTTGCAAGTTGGCCATTAGTTAATCCACCACAGGACTTAACAGACATACACAGAACTTTCCACCCAAAAGAAGATAAATTCTTCTCTAACATACAAGGTACACTCTCCAGGATAGACAACATGTTGGGCCAGGAAAAAAAAAAAACTTCACAAATTTAAGATAGAAATTTTATGATGTCTTGTTTCTGTCTACAAAAGTATGAAAATAGAAATTAATAACAGAAGGACCTTTGGAAATTTCACAAATAAGTAGAAACTAAACAACATGAATAACCAATGGGTCAGACAAAAAATTACAAGGGAAATTTAAAATTATCCTGAGATAGGCTGGGAATGTAGCTCAGAGGTAAAGCACTTGTTGGCTTACACGAGGACCTGGATTCCTTCCCCAGCACCGGGGAAAAAAAC